CGCCTGACTCTTGATTTTGGCTCAGATCATGATCTCAGGGTTGTGAGATGGAGCCTGCATTAGGCTTCGCACTGGGAGTCGTCTGCTTGAGATTATCTCTTTCCCTCTCGCTCTCCCCCTCCCACCACCCTAAAAGGAAAAGAGAGAGATAAATTCCCTCTTGGCAATGTTCAGGGACCTGCCTAATGGAAGAATATGGATTGAGTTCTGGACAGTGTTCCTCATGAATGTCCCTCTAGGATCTGAGAGACAGAGAGAGAGGACAAGAACCATCATCAAGAACCATCAACCAACACCTACTACAAATAAGTCACAATATATTAGATGCTTAACCTTACTCATATAACCTTGTATACTATAAAATAGGCCTTATATGTCCCATTTTACAGATGAGGAAGTTGAGGTTCAGATTGCTAAAGTATGCCACCTAAAGTGATAGAGCTGGTAAGTGATAGAGCCAAGATTTGAACACAGGTCTGTCTGACTCCAAAACGTGTGCTTTTTATTCTTCATGAGGTCAGTGTGAAGAGGAACACACTTGGCTTCCTTCCTAGCTCTTCTCCAATCATTCTCTTTCTCAAGTAGTACAGAGAAAGCCCTCACACACCACAGGTACTCAGGTACAGCTCTAAAACTTTCACGGATGATGTTCCTTCTGACCTTGAACTCGTCTCTGTTTCCCCAGTCCCCGACCTGCTGGATGCAAAAAAGCCGGTCCAGTCTTCCCAAGTCTGATCTGGAACACTGTGCCTGAGCAGCAAACACAGCTCAGAGATAAGACCTCTGAAATGAGGAAGGAATAAGACAGAGGCAAATGTTCCCTGGCTCAGGAAGTTTGAACTGTTAAAGACCTTTCTTAGAATAAAAGCAAGACTGGACTCTCAGAAATACCTGGGCATTGATGCAGGGCTTTGCAATGTCCTTTGCATCTTTTCAAGCAAAGAGGAATTCCTGAAAACTCTTCTGATGGCTTGAATGGCATGGTTTGCAGAAGTCACCCAGCTTTGGCCAGAGTTGCTATGTTGGCAAGGGGATGGGAGTCAGGGGGTGACTGCTGGAAATGCTGATAAAGCTGTTCTGGCAGAAACCTCATAGGGATTCCATAGCAGTGTTTGTTTTAAATAATGATGTAAAATATTCCCAATCCCCAATATAGAACATCAACTTAATTCTCCACCAGCAGTGGAACAGGATCAACTGATATCTGCTTTCCTAGAGTAAATTTAAAACCCAGCCCAAAGCGTCCACATGCCTCACTAAGCAGGAGATGGGGGAGGTGGGGACAGGAGATCGGGGCCCTCAAGGTTGGGTCAGAGTCCTCTTGACTCCTATCCACCTGAAAAAGCCATGAGCACGCTTGTATCTTTTTCTCTCTGTCTCTCCACGTACGTCAGACAATCTGGCTGTGAACGTCAGACTGCTCCCTTTACATCTCTGCTGGGGGCTTGGAGGGGAGGAGGGAATGGGGAAAGGGCTCCCTATTTAGAAATTGCATTGAGATGGAAAGACAATATGACACATCGACTCATGTCAAAGGAGCTCATTCTTCTCGCCTACAGCATTAGCAATTTCCTACCGAGGTTTAATTTTTTTTTTTTTTAGAAATTATTATTTTGTTTTAATTTATTTTATTTGTAGCATAACTCAACAGGCCATTGCTTCTCAGAGCAGAGCAGAGGACCTGTCCAAGGACAGTCGGGCCACTGGCTAGAAGACTTGGGGTGGGGGCAGGGGATGTGCTCTTTGGCTGTTTCCGAGGAAAGGAGGGCAGAGAAGTGGGATGCTCTGGTTTCTGCTTCAAATCTCCTCTTCTTCTGCATCCCACCCCACCTCCAGTTCCCTTCCCTGCTTCTGAGCAGTCTGGCCTGGGGACTAGGGGCCCAGACTCAGGAAGCTCTAGCCACCATTGAAGATGAGAGGAGAGCAATGGGGGAGGGGAAGCCCAAAGTGAGTCTGGACACCCTCTTCTCTAGAGCCAGGAAAACTGTTCTTCTGCCCCTCTCTCCTTTCCCCACTCAGCCCCCTCTGTTTTCTTCATGTAAAATCCTAAAATGCTGTTACTGGAAGGAGCCTTGAAGAGCTCCTCATCTGGCTTCATCATCTTACAAATAAGGACACTGACACCCTGATAAGGGACGAGACTGCCCCATGGCTGGTTTGATGCACCAGTCCTGGAACCCAGCCTCCTGGGGCCCAGCCTAGCACCCTTGTTGGCCACTCTGTAGTGCTGTTTCTGCTCCTCCTTCTCTCCACTCCACCCCTCAATCGAACTCAGATGGTCTTTCTCTGGAAGATAGCCTTCAGGGGCAGTAATTCTACTTCTTTCTACCTCCTTCCCTCTTCAGGTCTGGGTGGGACCTTGGGAGTCTGAATTTGGTCTCTTCATATGGGAGTGGGCTTGTCAGGGAAAGGGGTTTTAGAGAGGGATAGTTCCCACCTTCATATGTTTGTTTTGTTTGGTTGGTTGTTTGGTTTGTGGCTGGTTACATGAGCACAAGTATCAGCAGGTATCAGCATTAACCTGGGGGACAGGGAGAGAAGGCAAAGAAGACAACTAAGGTGGGTTTTTTTCCCCAATATAAGGAAAAAAATGTTTCTCTTTAATCTCTCTGAATGAGTGCCCCTTTATACTTGTATGGGTCCCTCTGCCCCTCTTTCCCTGTCCTCTGTATTTCTTGTCTATCTCCTATATTTGTCTCTATATGTTTCAATCCTCTGCCTCTTTCTCTTGTCTCTGTGTCTCTGTTTAGCTCTGTCTCTTTCATTTCTGTCTCTTTCATACACACTCATTCACACACTCAAAATTCAACACTTATTGACTGACCTGGGAGCCCCAGCCCCTTCCTGCAGCCCTGTCAGAGCAGAAACTCCTCCCTGTTCTGTTGAGAAATGCCAGGTCCAGAGCTGCTGGGGCGCCAGAGAAGCCGCAGAACCGTTCGCCTACTGTGGAGGCTGAATCCGGGAACAATGAGAAATTATCTGTTAATTCTCGGCTCCTGCCACCTGCTCTGCTCCAAACAGGCTCCTTTGCCTTCAGTTTAGATGCAAATTCCCCCACTCGTTGTAAAGCAAAATATTGATTTCCCTGCATCACAGGCCTGGGCCCTTGGAAGGTCCTGTGCTTTTTCATTCTCTGCAAAGGCAAAACAAGGCTCTTTGTTCTGCGAATTTCCCCAGGAACTCGGGAGGGGGAGGGAGAAATCACCGCGGAGTGACAGAGTTGCCATAAACATAGGCAGAGAGCAGTTGTTCTCCATTTGTATTTTACATAAACACAAACCTGCTGCCTCGGAAACTGCTAATGAGCATGTAACAAGGGGGCCTCCCCGGTGCTGAGTTTTGTATTGGGTGGGGGAGCAGGACGTGACAGGGCTTCTGGGCTCCTCAGGTGGGTTCTTGAAGCACTGGGGGGGGGGGGGCGAATGGGGACTCCACAGCTTCCCCTGTTCTTAGAACAGCAACTGAGCACCTCTCTCAGGAAGGCGTCCTGGATTGCATAGTGTCCCGGGGACCACGCTTGCTCGGTCCCTCCCGCCTGAGTTTCTAGCCTTCTCCCATCGCAGGCGCCGTAGGTCAGGGTGGAAGGTGTGAGCCCGCCACAACTGCCCATCCCCCCACCTTCCCTACCCTCCGCCCACGCTACGACTGTACTAACTGGGCTTTCAGCACCGTGGACAGAGCCATGGAGCCCTTCCGGAGAGCAAAAACCTGGTTAAGCCTGGGTCCTCTGAGGCCTCAGCTTGACCCTCTGCACTCCGGGCACTAGCTGCCGGGGGCTTTCCAGTCCAAGGGCCAGCAAGCGCTGCTGGCGCAGATGGCGCATGTGGAGACCGCCAGGAGCTGGAGCTCCGAATCTCCTCCCTCTGGAACGTGAGTCACCGCCCGAGCCACTTCCAATTAGCGTGATAATTAGGAGGAAAGACCCTCCTCCCCCACCCGCCACACGGGTACACACCAGCCCCGCGGCTTCCGGAGGCTCCTGCTAAAGTTTCCTTCCCAGCTCCGGGGAGGCAAAGAGACCTGAGCCTGGACCTTCGGGTGAGCCGCACACGGGAAGAGGCCCCCATCGGCCGACAAGCCGAGGACGCGCGACTTCCGTGACAGGGCCCCCTGCAGGGCCGCGCGGGTGGCGGCCCATAGACCACCAGGGCTGAGTGAGGTGCCTTCGAGCCCCTCCGCCAACCTGTTCCTAGACCGCACGCCCCAGTTCCTGGAGGGGAAGTCTGCCTTAAGTCTAGCGTCAACCCTCCCGTTTAGTTTTCAGGCTTTCTGGCCCTGGCTATGCTTAATAGACGCATTATCTCCGGTGGCGTTGCACCGCTGTGGGGAGATGGGTCTGGCGGGAACGGAGCTCCCTCTTGAAATGCCCCCCATTCCTATTTGAGAGAAACTTTCCCCTCCCGTTGCCATGGAGAGAGACGGCCGCTGCCTCCCGTTGCCATGGCAACGTGCGGGTACCGTGGACCGCAGGATTGCGGGGCTCAGAAAGTCTTTCTGCAGTTCAAATAGCCCCGCAGTTTTAGGGTCTTCTGCCTCCGAAGCTGGGACTTGGGGCTAGTCTGACTAACTTCTCCCGTTAGGAACCTTGGCCAAGGTTCTCCTACTCCCAGCCGGGTCATTCTTCTTTCTATTTCGTTGCCACTTGTGTGGAATGTGGCAATTTACCCAGTGTTTTCACGAACACTATCTTTATATTCCCAGGCAGTCCGTGAAGCCCTCCTAATCATTATACCTCTTTTACAGAGTGGGGAATTGAGGCTCAGAGATGCCAAGGTCACACCAGGCAGTGGATGTGAAGTCAGATGCCAGGCCCTTTCCTGGGCCTTGCACCCGCCGGGGTGCTGGACAACTGGGCTCCCCTGCCTCGAACCCCGCCGGGACTCAGACCTGTCCCTGGGTGTAGAGGGGGCGGCGGTGAGGCGCCAGACTTGCCAGCTGCCGCGGGATGCCACGTGAGGGGCGGAGACCCTGCGGGGAAGCGATTAAAAGCTGAACCGAGCCGCAGGGGGCCGCTGCGGGGAGGGTCTTCTTGGGGCTGCCTCGCCCCGCCCCAGTCCGGCGGCGGCACCGGTTCGGGCGGCTGCTTGAAGCGCCGGGGCGTCCCGGGCATGAGTGGGGTTTGGGGGACTGGGGGGCCTCGGTGCCAGGCGGCGCTCGCGCTCCTGGCCTCGCTGTGCCGGGCCCGGCCGCCCCCTCTCGGGCTGGACGTGGAGACTTGTCGGAGCTTCGAGCTACAGCCCCCAGAGAGGAGTCCGAGCGCGGCCGACTCAGGTAACGGGAAATCCGAGGACCCCTCTCTTCCTGGATTCTCACCCTGGTGGTCCTGCCTCCCAGAGCCCCGGCCCCGGGAGCCCCGGAACCTAGGCAGAGAACTCCAGCTCAGGATCCTGGATTCGAAACCAGCTCTAGCCAGTGCCCGGTTCCATCGCCCGCAGGGCAAGCGGAGAGATTTGAAAGGGGACCTGGGAGGCAGAGACTCCCCGAGCCCCCTCCCGTGTGACTCTTTGGGGGTGTCGCGCAAAGCAGCGCTCCCGGGGTGCGGCGCCCCACGGGGGCCTCAGTTTCCCTAGCGTCTCTCCGCTCACCCAGCGAGCAATCTGCCAGGGAAGAGGTCTGTGGAGCGACTAGGAGACCAGGGACACCCCGGCGGACGAAGTAACTCGTTTCTTGGGGGTGTCGAGGTCCCAAGGTCCGTCTGTCGGCCTGCGCGTCCCTTTGTTCTCTCAGCGAACGCGGTCTGAGCCCCTGGTGTCAGGGAGAAACTTGGGTCTGCGGGCGGCACGAGGTCTTGGTGTCCGTACCTCTCTCCGGCTGCGAGTGGCTGTCTGCGTCTCCGCCGGGGGGCGGGGGGCGGCGCGGAGGAGGGTGTCTCGGCATCCTCCCCCCGCTCCCGCCCCTATAACTCGCTCCCTCGGTCCCTCTCTGACTCACTCGGACTCGAGGCCGGTGCGCGACTGAGCTGGTGCCTCTCGCCGACTTTGCCAAGCCAGCGCCTCCTGCCCGAACCGCGCGGGCTCCGCGCGGGCAGCCCCGGCGGCCGCCGAGCCCAGGCGGGAGCCCGAGCCAAGGCGAGCTCGCCGGAGCCGGTGAGTCGGGAGCCCGAGCCCCATAGGGCCCGGGCCGGCGCGCAGCGTCGGCGTCTCTCGGGAGTCGCGACAGCGGCAATGGCGTGTCGCGCCCTGGCGGCGGGAGCCGTGGGAGGGTAGGCGGCCCGCCTGCCCGCGTATTTACTTGCCGCACCAGCGCCGTTCGGCCACGCTCGCCCGCTGCGGCCGGGCTTCTTTGTCGGAATGCCGACGTCTGGAGGGTCCTGGGCGAGAGGGAGGGTCGGGTCGCCTTCCCTCCAGGGGGAGGGGCGGGAGGGCAGTGTGAAGCCTCGAGAGGGTGAGGAGTGGAGGTGGGGAGATCCTGCAGGGACCAAGGCGCCGGGCTTCCTTTGGCTCCGCAGACACCGCCCCTCCTCGTCCCCCGACCCTGACCCCGGTGGCGCTGGGCCTCGGGGTAGGCGAGGGTCGCCCCTGTGGTTCCGCACCAACCGCGCGGGAAAGGGAGGAAGGGGCAGCGAGAGGCGGGAATTTCGTCTCCACGCGCGTCTCCTGGGACCAGAAGCCAGAGACTGGAGCGGCGATTCCTGGAGCAGGTACGGGTGGGGTAAGCTCCCCAGAGACCGCAGGTTCCAGGGCTCTGTTTTCACTTGAGGTTAAAGGTCAGAACTGTTGGCAAGCTCCTGGGTTAGAAACCCGGCCGCTGAGCCCGGAGGGGGGGGCGGGGGTGTTGGGTAGAGGAATAGAAGGGAGGTAGTGAGTGGGCCGAGGGGAAGATTGCGTGTGTGAGGGGATTGTGTGCTGCCTTGGAGGAGTGGAGCGCACCTCAGCCCTGCGAGGCTTGTAGGGGGCGCTGCTCTCTCGCGTGCACTCTCCCTGGCCCTGGCAATGTTGGATCAATGGGTTGATTACTGCAGCAAAAGGGACTGAGGTTAGATCTAAAGAAGAACTTTCAGAGGATGGTACAGTGATGAGTGTTGGAGACGTTGATTCTCCCTCTCGAAAAATCTCGGAATAGAGGAGGCCCAGCAAGTGTTATTAGATTTTGGTTCTCAGGTGCCATCATCTGCTATCCCATCCCTCTTCCCGTATCTCCCAGACACACAATTTCCCCTAAGTTAGAGAGTCTCTTCCTGTCTGCCTACCCAGCTCCCTTCCATCCTTTCCTCCAACAATTCATCGCCAGTGGGGGGCCTTAATGCCGGTCCTGACTTTCAAACCCTAAAGGGGGTAATTCAGGGTGAGAACACACCTGTCGAGTTCTCCCTGGGTTGGAGGCTGCTGCCCTTCTCCCCTCTCTGTCCAGAGCAGAAATGCTGCATCCTGGGAAGGGTGTCTGTGTGTGTCTGTGTGTGTAACTTTCAGATATAGGGAGGCCCTGGTGTTCTGACTCCAGAGAGACATCCTGCAGTCTGGAAGGACAGGAGCCTGGCGACCAGGCTGAGAGTAAGAGAAGGTTGAGGAGTGAGAACAAGCAGCCTCTGATGAATCAGCTTGCCTTCCCTGTAGGCTGCTTGAGCTTGATTTGTCAGCCCTGGGGGACTTGAACTTTGACTGCCGAGTCACAAGCCTCAAGAAGCACCCCTGCCCCCTGGGGTCAAGTGAGGGGGCTGAAAGGGAGGAGGAGGAGGCAGAAAGAGACCCTTGATCATAGCAAAAGAAAGTGGTTGAGAGTGGCTTTGCGATCTTGGGGTTTGAGTGAGCCCAAGTCTGGGGAGATATATAGTTCGGGACCTGCATCCCAGAGCCACTTCCAGATTCTCCAGTCAGAGAAATGTTGGATCTCTTCATTTGTATTTTTATGAAAAATGCAAGTGACTAGAGCATGCCCAGTTCTTTTTAGCTCTCTGTATGTTTCCCCCTACCTTCCTCCTACTGAAAGTCTCTAGCTTATGGGATTTGTAGTAACACCCTGAGATTCAACAACTGAGATTCAGACTCCACTATCATTTCCTGGGACCCTCCCCTATGTCATGGTCTGTGCTAGGAATTGCACAGGAAATCTTAACCTTAATCAGATCTCCTTTGCTTTCCTGACTTGAAACACTTCAAATAAACTGTCCCAGATAGAAGCAAGTTCTATTTTACTTTAAACATTCTGAAGGTGAAGGGTCTACTATCCTCTTTAATATACAAACCCCCTCACCCCCCGCCCACCCCTGCAAGTGGACACTGGTAAGCGGTTCTCTTTCTTCTTAATGCTGTTTGCCTTGTGGAAATTAATGAATTTGCTCCTAGGCCAAAGTGAAGACTGTTGGGGGTGGGTAGGAGGGTTCTGGATTTGAGGTAGCAAGCAAAGGTTCAGAGGTGTTTCAAAAAAATTCCAGAACTGTTGGGAGACCCTGAGCTGCCTGTCCCCACCAAGCTGAAGGCCAGGAATGGTTATTCTTGGCCTTACCTGTGGCCATGAGACGTACGTACTGTTGGTTCACTTCTCTACTGACTCTGGAGATGTTCTGTGATTCATTCAGCTGGTTTGAAGTTGGCCTTCCACAGCACAGATGAGATTTTTCCTGCCTGTGATGGCAAGTTAAACGCATAGCATCTCATCAAAAGACAAATGTCCTATTTCTATAACTAATCGTTACTCCCTCATTCCTTGCTGGCAGGAAGACATTCCACAGATGTTGCCATCTTTGAGGAAAGGTGCAGTGTAGGATCCTTTAGAACGTACGTCCCTTAGACAATGTTCTGACTTTATGGTGTGTCTTCAGCTTTAAGATTCTAGAACTAGGGTAAAGTATCTAGGAGCTATAGAGCACTTAGGTTTACAGTTCTAGAAGTTTTCTTCTACTTCTGTCTGTGGGAACCTTAAGAGTCAAATGGTAAATCCATCCCCTCCATGTTCCAATATGGAAGATGTGTTCTAACCATTCTGTTCCTCTGTCCACAGAGTTGAGGGTATAACACAGGGCTGCAGAAAACTAGGACTAAGACTGGGGCATCTGCACCTGGCAAGGTTTCTTTAGGGTCTGGGTAAGGCTGTCTGGCATGGGAAAAGAGTAGGGTAAGGGAAAGTCTTGCCCAAGCTCCATGGCACCCCTGCTGGTCCTGCTTAGGAAAAGAGGTCTCTGAGCACCAGAGGACTGAGTCACATTTAGGAATTTTCATGCAAGGGGATGTTGAAAGTGGAGGTGAATAGGATATCCAGCTGTGGATGCTCTAGGTACACAACACTGTCTCATCTCCCTTCTCACTCTTGCTGATCTGTTTTTCTTGCTCCATGTGTGGGCCTGAACAGACCAAACAGACCACTCTGCTCAGTGCTTGCATGTGTAAACAGGAAGGGGGGTGTAGAGGGAAAGAACATTTCTGGGTCTCTGTCTGCCCCTCCCTCATCACCCCAGCCTTGATGTCCACAACTCAGAGAGGCCCCAAGCCCTGACTAATCAGGCAGAAAGTTACAGTTACCATCTGCCAAAATAGTAATACTATTAAATGCTAAATTAATTCCAATGCTCTGTTAGCTACAGCACTCCACATTAGTCTCCGATTTATCTCTGAATCCCCTAATGATGGTGGAAGCCGGTGCCCAGTCATAAAGCTGGTGCGGCCATAATTAGCCCGGCATTGTCTCTCCTCATCACAGCTTTTCAGGGGCATTAATTCCTTCTCTGTTTGGACTCTGCTAATTATCCCCATCGGTAGTTCAGTTCAGTCTGGATCTCTGAAAGAAGGAATGGAAGCAAAGGCTCCCTGCAACCCCCCCAACCCTGAATTTTAATCACACCAGCTTCTAATAAATTTACAAGCCATGGCAGAGTTTATTATTAATGGACCACGTCTGTAAGGCTGGGAACAGAATAGCCTCTGTTCCCCCAACACACGCACATGCACGCACACGCGCACACACACGCACACGCACGCACGCACACATGCGTGCACTCTTGGGTATTTCTCTGGGACATCTATCTCTGGACAAGGCCTTTCCAGGGGCCGCTGGTTATGGGCCCAGCACCTGGTGGGTAACCTGCAGTGTCTATACTTTTTAGGGAAGAAGAAAGAGGTGGGGGATGAGGTTGGTCAGAATCCTAGTCTCCAGATTTCTACCCGCAGGCACAGAGTATCAGGCCAAATAGTAGAGGATATGTCCCACAGTCTCCTGATTATAACAAAAAACGCCTCCCCAGCTTCCTCCAGCTTTCACCTCAGCCCCCAGTCCCCTCAGGGGCCCGGCTCAGAAGCTCCGACTTTGGCATCAGAAGTTCCAGGTTTAAGTCCCAGCTC